TGTTCTGGAATCATCTGTGTCAACTGGGTAAAGGAACCCATTGTTTAGATTTGATGGTGCTTTTGATGATTTTAATATTCATTTATTAATTTTCCTTCAGCTTAGTCCCCTGTTTGAACCGTTCATTGTTTATATGCAAATATATTAGATGTTTAATGGTAATGAATGGGTTTAACCATTAAAAATGTGATTTCATAAGTTCAGATTATCTTTTGTAGAATGAAAGTATTCAGGTGACAACACTAAACAATGGTTAAAGTAACCTCACAAAGATACTCACATTTTATGCTGTTTTTTTTTTTTTTTTTTTTTGCAGATATTTGGGATATATATTAAGTACACTTCAGCTCTATGTATTTTTGGCTGGAGATTTGGCTGGTTTGTTATGATGCTTGATGTTGCAAACTGATATTTTCTTAATATATTATTCTGCTTTGTCTGTAGAGTCATATATTGTAAATATTATTCAATCAAAAAATTGAATAAATTATTTAAAAATTTGTTTTATTTATTGTATGTTTATTATTATTATTATTATTATTATTATTATTGCTTATTTTATTATAGTTTTATTATAGTTTTAATAGTGCAATTAGTGGTGGATTGTTTTGAAAATCAGGTTAAAAGGGTAATAATAATTCCAGAATTGTTACTTTTATTTATTAATTATAACTTGATAAAAATCAACGGAATAGAGGAAAAAGAAAAGAATCGCAGCCTCTTTTATATGTATTAAATAACAAATTTATTAATTGATTCATTTATTTAGAATGGTTGCTTCCACGAATCCTGCGACTTCCACATCTTCAGGTGATTCTGATGTAAATCTGCTGTCCAGAATCAGCTGGTTTGTCTTAGTCGGGCATCTCCGCTGAGACCAGTCCACTATGGGTGACCCTGCCGGTATCTGTGAAGTACCAGTGGCGAAGCTCTCAGCATCACTGATGCACACAAGCCCTCACAGCACGTCAAGCTGCAAACCACGTGAGGGACCCTAACCTAACCTACCCTAACCTAACAGACACCGCAAACCACTAAACGCATCGAAACTCTCAGAAGAGTCCAGCGACCGACCAGCAACACGAGAACAACCGCTCAGAAAACCTCGACAACCGTGCAGAAAACCACCTGAAACATCCTGAAGACCACCGAGCAAACCAAGAACTTCAAGTCAACAACACCAAGAATCAATAAAAACAACCAATTGATGAAACAAAACATGCAAAAGGAAACTTACTGTGAACTTGCTCTACAACTATGTACACTATATACATACGCAGGCCTGCAGTGTGGTTTGGGACACTGTGGAGACTCAGCGTCTGGCCCTCTTTCTGCTGGGCTTCTCAGGCAGTGGCTCTCCACTGATGTCCACATGGACTCGAGGAGCCATGATGTTTGGTCTGGACCCACATCTGCGTTCTGTAATGACGATTCGTCCATCAGCCTGCACCGTCTCCTCCATCACAGGACACCTGAGCGCCTCCCACAGCCGCTGCTTGATCTCCAGGCCCAGCTGAAGGCTGTAGGGACGACTCTTGATCATGGGCTCGACCACAGAGCGGTAGATGTCCTGGTAGGCCTGAACGCTGTAGCCATGGATCGAGAGTGGCTCCTCCTGCTGTCCCACGTCCACTGAAGGCACTGAGGATGCTGGACGGATTTGGGGAAGGACAGCTGCATTCTTCAGGTGATGCTCCTTCAGACCTGGGGAAGAGATACAGCTGTAAGTATGATCCAACCTGATCACAGCTGCAGGATCCTGAACAGACGGGACACCCTCCAGCAGGAAGTCCTTCAGGTGTGCTGGAAGACTCCTGATTCGTCTGAGGCGCCGCTGCTCCATGATTATCAACTTTCCAAATCAGACAATCTGGTTACAAAATCTTTTGTAAAACTTGTCAAAGTGAAGAGTTGAAAGAGCTCAAGTGATCAGATTCAGAGAGATGTGTTGATTTCAGTGTAAACTCAGGTTGCCGTGGTGACAGAATATTGGAGTCATTTAAATGTAAACAACACTTGATCAGCAGAAAGTCAATCAGAGCAGTAGAGGAGTTCTTCTCTATTGCTTCTCTATTACACATTGTGCCATTTTTACATTATAAATAAGTAAATATAGTGTGAACTAAACAAAATGTGTAATACAGAAACATTAACACTTTCAGTTAAATTTCATTAAAATCAGTTGGGGTAAGCAGATATCCTGATAATTATAATTATTATTATTTTTTATCAATCAGATCTAGATCCCAAAACAATAATAAAAACGAAAACATACATACAATTTTGTCTTTTATTTAATTATTTACTTATTTATTTATTTTCATAATCAATTTTAATCAAATTTTGTCGCAATCAAACTTTATTTAACCAAATTTCAAATACGTTTTTTTTTATCTGATCATATTTTTGCATTAATTATTTCATTATTAGATTCTATAAAACAAAATTACACTGTAAATAAAATAATTGTTGACGCTGACAATTAAATATTGACTCAACAAATGACTTCACCATAAAAAGCCCCAAACGCAAAAAAAATCCACATTATTATTTTTAGCTGATGGTCTGAAGTAAAAATTACAAATATTCATTCACCAAACATAAAACTGTGCTTTGGCAAATTATCAAACAGAAGTGAAAATAGTATTTGTGTTTGGCGAACAAACCTTGCAGCAAAAGCGCGTGTACGCATGCGCGTGAGAGTCGTTTGTTGGATAAGGTTTAAATTCCAGCGCAGCAATGGCAGAGCTCCTCCGAAACATCATATTCAGGCGATTTCCTTCATCAAAGATATGGTGAGTAGTGAATTCTGTATGTATTGAATCGTTTTTAAGTTTAGCCAAATGCAAGTCTCAGTAATTCCTGACATAAAACGAAAAGCATGGGTATACTTTAGCCTGCCGCTCCGTCATAATGTTGTACACAACACGTTAACGTTAATTACAGACATTGCTCTGGCTAGTTATATGTTACCGGTTGTCAGTTCTACTGTAGCCTTATTTATTTTCTATAAAACAAAATATTATGTAAAACACAAGCCTGCCTTATTGATTTCAACTTAAAAATATTAAACATTGATTTGGAGTTGTTCTTAAAGGGACAGTTCACCCCCAAATCAAATTGTACAGGTAGCACCTATGTCTGCAGCCGGCACTTCGCTCCAGATGATTACAGTGGTGGCTGCGTCGTTCGCCGCCTGAAGAGTGGTGTTGTCCCGAGCCTATTCCCTTGGAACAACTTTACAGCTCCTTTGAGAAGGGAGTCAGTATATGACAGAACCTACAAACGTCAGTCTAAACAGCTATGCTGTGAAGATAGCGACACGGTGGCTAAGGCAGCAAGGATGGATCACGACTACGTGACACACCCACCTGCATTGAGGTAAAGTTGGTTTTATATTCACACATTCGTTCATTTAGAAGTCTCTCTATTATTTACTATGTTACTTTGAATATTCGATCGAAATTAGCATGCAAACATGACTAGAAAACAACATTAACACTGGTTATTTGACTGTGAACAATGCTGTACTGATAGTCATTGGCTGCTAATATGATTTCGCTAATTAGAGTTTGCAAATAATAATTTAAAGAAATTATATTGTTAAAGGGAAAGTCTGAATGTGCAAATATAAAACCAACTTTACCACGATCCCACCTGCAGGTAAGATTGTTCATAGTGTATTTAGTTAACGCTAGTCAACTATGTGTACCGTTATGCATTTCTACCTGAACAAATAAATGTTAATAATATAAGCTGTTCACGAAACTCAACTAATAAAATAAAATATTTTTTTTGATAATGAAACAATTTATTGCTGTGACATCTAGTAAATACACGAAGTTTTATCATACTAGCATGTGTGGAAGTATTTAAAACAAGTGTGTTACAACTGGCCCTGTGTTAGGTTCTACCCCGCTCTCCCCTATTTTAATTGCATGTATTTAATTATTTATTTAATTAACTTCGGAAGACAACTCAGGCTCGCCGAAAACACTCTAGCTGCCTTTTCTCCGCCAAAAAACTCCTACCGGAACTGGGTTTACACGTTGTTGACGTACTTCCGGTTTTTGTGTAAAAGGTCTATAGTATGATCCTGCACAACTTTTTTTATTTTTTTTATGATCCTGCACAACTGGAGTAGCTGCACTTTCAGGCCTGCATTTTTATGACCCTAGTTTTTTTTGCGGAAGCGCCACCTACCGGATTGGATGACATAGTGCGACTGCATAGATATATACAAATATAGGTTGTAAAGGTTGTAGAGAGTCGACACAAGAATGATTCAAGAATGCACTTTTATATAAATATCCACACACTCATTTTTTTTTTTTTATTAATGCAATTCAACCACAAAAATGACCCCACTGTTTAATCAGTTGCTGCATTTAGACTGGCTGTAGACTTCAGCTCCTGTGAATGAGAGAGAGGGAGAGAGTTCAAATATATACATACACACACACAGTGGGGTAAATAAGAATTTAACACGTCCCCATTTTTCTCAGAAAATATATTTCTAAAGGTGCTATTGACCTGAAAACCAAAGAAAAAATATATGAATAGAAAACAAATCTAATTACTTTACAAATTGTTATCAACATCTGGTGAAAATTTCAAGTCAACAGCACCTTTATAAATATGTTTTCTGAGAAAAATAGAAACGTGTTGAATATTCAATTTCAATTCATCTTTATTTGTATAGCACTTTTACAATGTAGATTGTGTCAAAGCAGCTAAACATTTATTAAATTTAAAGTCCAAACACTGAAGAACAAATCCATCTATGTGCAGCTCTACAAGTCCCAAACCAAGCAAGCCAGTAGCGACAATGGAGGAACAAAACTTTACCAATTGATGAAAGTGAAGGAATAAACCTTGAGAGAAACTAGGCTCAGTTGGGCACAAGCATTTCTCCTCTGGCCACACCTCACGTGCAGAGCTGCAGTCTAGGCGCTGGAGGCTGAAGAACACTGGGCATCCATCGTGGAGAAGCTGCAGGTGTGAGTAGGTCACCAGCAAGTTTTCAGGCTGGACCACAGGATCAATGCGGGCACTCATCTGTCACTTGGGTCTTTCATTAATCAGTCTCATGCTCTCCACTTCTCCATGACCACCATTGCATCTGCTCATGATACGGTCTGGTCCAGGAGTATGGATACATCTAGAAGTCCTCTATGGTGGCATCATCTCTTCACATCTCTAGAGGGCCTGGGATGAATATCCCTGGTGGAAATAAGGAACAAATAAAATAATTAGCGCAGCTGCTGTTCATAGTGTATTTAAACAAGAGATTTTAAATATCAAGACAAAAATTAAGTACTATGAGATAAAATAGCAGTTTTATTATTAAACATGAAACGCACATGATTATTTATAACAAAATGTCTGGTGCATTAAGACAGCAAGAGTGTGTCCTCCAGGTGGTTTGTCAAGCCCACTCACCCGCATAGAGCACATAGGTTAGCACCGTCGCCTCACACCAAGAAGGTTGCTGGTTCAAGCCTCGGCTGGGCCAGTGGTAATTTTTGTGTGGAGTTTGCATGTTCTCCCCGTGTTCTGGTGTATGAGTGTAAATGGGTGTTTCCCAGTACTGGGTTGTGACTGGAAGGGCATCCACTGTGTAAAACATATGCTGGATAAGTTGGCGGTTCATTCCGCTGTGGCAACCCCTGATAAATAAAGGGACTAAGCCGAAAAGAATATATATATATATATATATATATATATATATATATATATATATATATATATATTCTAGAATATGTAAAATCATGTATATGAACTCAAAAGGTTAACCGATTGTTATGCAATTAAATTTAGATTAATATTTAAGAGGTATAGTAACAAACATTTGCTTTACAGTGTTAGCTATATATATATATACCTATATATAATATAATATATATATATATATATATATATATATATATATATTTCTGGCTTAAGTTTATGCACTGTTGGGAGAACCAAACAGGACACCTTACTCCCAACTCCATATTTTTAAGTACATAAGAGCAATACCCACCTATTAAATGGTCTCCCTTCTTTTGTCAGTTTCTTGTCAATCTGTCATCTGTTAAATTCTTCTACTTCACTGAAATAGAGAACAATCACTGTTGAGTTAACATATATACCAGTAACAAAAAGGCTCTTTGAGTATTCTGCAAAAATAAACCATATTCTGACCTGTAAAAATCTTTACCAGAAAGAAAGACCTGCTCAGCATCATCCAAAGACAAGTTCCTCAAGACATGTATGATGGCCAATGAAAAAAAAAATCATTTAAATATGGACTAAAATACCACCACAGAACAGCAAATCATTTTACATGGGTTCATAAATGAGTAGCACCCAACATGCAGTTTATATACTTCTTTTTCCTGAGGAATGCCAGGCCAAATAACACCACAGATAAGTTGCACTTCATCATAGATATGCTATAAACTCAAGAACACAGCTAGCATTTGTAACTGTATTTAAAAACTGCTTATCTAATAATGTAGAGTTAATGCTAAACAAATAAAATAATAATACATTAACTAGTTGTAATGCTTAATAATTTATTTATAGTATGCAGATTTTATAAAGTGTTACTCAACAGTTTGAGATAACCTCAGTTAAAATATTCCTGTAGTTTGTTTTCTTTTCTACAATGAGCCTGGGCAATCCAATCATATTGGCCATCAGTTCTTATTCACCAGGTAAAACATACCTGATATACATTAAAAATATGAGACTCTATATAGTTAAGGCCTGCAGAATAAGCCTAACTATAAAAACAGTCAAACATCTCATTCATCACTGTAAAACATGACAAAACATCAGGCTAATAACACTGTGGGGCAAACAGGCAGTCAGCACAATGTTTATTGTGCTAATGTAATACAACGTTGAGTAGAGGTTTTCACACTAATAAAATAAAATATAGATAAATCTACAACTCGCACATCAACGTGCTTTTACCATCTTAGTTTAATGCATGTGTCACTAAGCACATTAGCCGTTCAGTCAACAAGCCAATAAATCAACAATGTTTCATTAAACCATGGCCATGAACTACAAACGTCGTTACAATCAAACTAGAAACCGAACTCTAGAAAATGTATTAACAGTTATAGCAGCTCTCACTCTGGCTGTGTAAAATTATCCATATTTATTATTATTATATTTTATTCTTCTGGAAAAAAATCGTCACATAACATTTTAGTCCTAGACCCTTGAAAGTGCATGGGATAAATCATGCGGTCATTTCTGCATAACCTCACAATATAAAACAGTAGCATTACAAAATAAACACATACTTTAACAGTTTAAAATAAAAAAATAGAATACAGTTTAACACTTATAAAACATACAAAGCCATTAATAGACACACTTAAAAAATTATCACTAGTGTTACAACCAATCCCTGTAGCCTATAGGCCTATCTGTCATTTAATTCGACATAGTCAAACATAACCCACTGTGAAACCGTCATAACCCCATTCCACAGTATTCAGCAGCATCTCCTTGGCATATATAGTTCTTTAAATAATAATATTTCGACATGTCTTTAGCTACACACCCTTGCAGTATTCAGACGCTGTGGTTTTGTTCTCCAGCACCACCCTCTGCCGAACAGCGCGCGCTCAACTCACTGTCAGCAGCATCCACACACACACACAAACGCAAACACGCACACACACATTCGCTAAAGCAGAGCTGCCTTCAACACCAACACAACCCCGCTTCCACTGCATCCCTGCACACAATTACACATCTGACCCCAATATTAAACATACTCCAGCATGGAAAGCGGGTCCATTTCCAGACAGCGCGAGGATGCTGAAATGCCAGATTCATCCACGACCGAGGGACCTTCTCTGGAAGCACCTCAAAGGTACGTTATGCTACTGTATGTGGATAACAGGGATTATAATGCTAATTGTGAAGGCAAGTGTGCCTGATAGTCACTTAAATGGCTGTTTTTGCGAATAAACAGTGATAGCGGATGTGTCACTTTTAAGCGGTGTTTCATTTGAGCTTTTGTTTACAAGCGAAAATAAATAGCATACTGTATGTCGAGGACTGCAAAAACGGTAGACTGAAAGTACAAGCAGATCACGAATAATATACAGTAATACTACTATTATTATTAAATATTGCATTGGGTTTGCTCTCATATTGAAATCTACAAACTGTTTTGACCGCTGATACTGATGGCACGGTTGATGTTTTTGGGTCACAAAGGCTATTATAAATTCATTTTCATGGCGAAATCCATGTGGATTTATATTTGACCTGCAGTAATTCAAGCGTTGAGAAGAACATTGGAAATTTACTTTAGATTTAGAAATAAATATCAAAATCGAGTTTGCCTGTTTCATGTCTGCTGCTAGGTGGAAATTGAAATGGCATGTCAGCTTTAATATATATAGCCTGCATTTAAAGCTATGGACAAAAACTATGAACACTTGAATTTCTGGAAGCATTGGATTAACTTAATTCTTAATATTCGCTGTATTATCTTTTGTGCAGAAAATGACCATTGGTCAAAATATCTATTGGTCAAAACATTGGTCAAATTGTTATTTGAGGTTGGTTGTCATTGTGTTGTCTAAAATGATTAAGCATTTGTTTTTTCAACTAATTATCATTTTACTGTATGCTCTGAATGAAAGTATTTAAAATTTTATTAAAAAATCATCAGTAGTTTTTGGAAAACATTAAATAAAATAGATGACATAACTCATTCATTAATTTTCCTTCAGCTTATTTAAGTCCCTTATTTATCAGGGGTTACCACAGAGGCATATATTTTGCACAGCCGCAACCCAGTACTGGGAAACACCCATACACTCTTGCATTCGCACACATACTCATATACTACAGCCAATTTTGTTTACCCAACTCAACATTTATTATACTCAGTTTGTTGCTATTATGTTTGTGTACACTTGTGTGATCTCTGATCTTGTTTTTAATCACAAAATATTAGCATATTATTTTTTTATACAACCCCAAATCAGAACAAGTTGACAGAACAGTATGAAAAACACAAATACAAATAGGAAAGAAGAGATTGAAAAATATACTTTGACTTGTATTTCATTGCAGAATATACAACAAACATCATTTGATGTGTTCCTCATTATTACTTTTTTAAAATAAACACGTATTTTAATTTTGATTCTTGTAACACATCAATAAAGGTTGGACCAGTAAAACATATACCTCTTTGTAATGTTGCCATTCCTTTTCACAGCACTTAAAAGACATTTAGGGACCGAAGACACCAAGTGATGAAGTGTTTCAGGTGTAATTTTGTCCCATTCTTCCTGCAAACAAGTCTTAAGGTGGTCAACAGTACAGGGTCTTCATTGTCACATTTTGCCACACAAAATGTGTCACACATTCTTTATTGGTGACAGATTTGGACTGCGTTCAGGCCAGTCAAGTACCTGTTTCCTCTTCCTCCACAGTCAGGACTTTGTAATGTGTGCAGAATGTGGTTTTGCATTGTCCTGCTGAAATATGCATGCACATCCCTGAAAAATTAGGCAGCATATTGTGCTCCAAAATCTCTATGTATTTTTCAGCATTAATGGTTAATTCATCACAGGAGTGCAAGTTACCCTTGCCAAGGGCACTTGACCATGACAGACCAAATCTTTTGGACTTGTTGCTAACCACAGTCTGGATAATCCTTTACTTCTTTAAGTCTGGTGCACATGGAAGTCCATTTCTTGCAAAAATAATAATAATAATAAAAATACCTGAAATACTGATTCATCTGAACATAGTACACATGTACACTGTGTGATGGTCCATCCCAGATGCGACCAGAAGTCGGCAGCTCTTATGGACACTGTTAGCATAGGGCTTCTTTTTGGTACAGTACAGATTTCACTGCCATTTATGGATGCAACTACATATTGTGGCACTTGATGCAGTGAAGGATCAGAGATCACGGTTGTTCAGCTTAGACTTCCTCCAGATTTCTTGAATCTTTTAATTATGTGATGCTGTTCAAGGTGAATAATCCAAATGTCTTCCTATCTTTCTTTGAGAAACAACGTTTTAAAACATTTCAATAATTTTCTCATGAATTGGTTGGCAAACTGGCGATCCTCTGGTCATCTTTGCTCCTAAAGGACTAGACCTTTCTTGGATGCTGCTTTTGTACCAAATTATAATTACAAGCATCTGTTGACATAACCTGTTTTAAATCACATCATTATTTAACCAATTTACCTGATTTTTTGCCTAAATCGCTCCTGTCACAACCTATTTTGAAATGTGTTGCAAGAACCAAAATTGGAACGTGTACATTTTGGAAAAAAAAATTAAAAAATCGTGAGGAACACATTAAATGATGTTTGTTGTATTGTCTACAATGAAATACAATTCAAAGTACATTTAGAAATCACTACTTAATTATTTTATTAGCATTTTCCAAACTAACATTTTCAGATTTGGGGTTGTAATAAAAAAGGGATATTCCAAATTCTGTCCTATTACTTGTTCCAAACTTCTTTTGTTGAACACAAAACAATATGTTTTGAAGGAACCTATAACTATTCACTTCTATAGTATTTGTTTTTCCTACCATTGAAATCAATGGTTACAGGCTTTCAGCATTTTTCATTATATATTGTTTTTCAGAAGAAAGTCTTAAAACACCCTGTGTTAAGTTGCATTTGTTCTTTAAAAAAAGAAGTCTACAGCAACAAAAGGAAAGCAGCTCTGTTCTATATATCCTCGTTTGTCAAGATTGTTTCTTTCAGTCGGCAGTAATTCTAATAATGAACTACACAGTGATGTAAGACTCTAAATGGAGGTGTTAGAAGATTGATTCTGAAAAAGTTAATCACACGGCTCATCTGTTACTCTGACTGAGATGTTTAGCTTCAGCATAACTAGGTGTAGATTCCCTGTTCTGCTAACATCGACCGTAATTAACTTTAATGATGAAATGTGTCTGTAGATCAAAGTTACAGGGAGCAGATGGTGAGATGCGTCCTTCAGCTTTGGTGGAGAAGATCCAGCTGAAGCTGAAGGGACTCATGTTTGAGTGTGACCCTCTCAAGAGGAGCCTTGTCTTTATATTGCAAAGCGATCCGCACACATGGGCCCTTCTTACCAGCCTTTGATTTGTTAATCAAAGGTTTTGTTCCATGTTATTATCTGCTGTTTATGGTGCTTAAAATGGCTGCGCGTATCCTACACACAACAGCAAGTGCTTCATCTTCACAAAACTGTCACAAACAAGCCTGGGAGATGTTACAGTCTGGTGGAAATTACATTAATCTGAATCATTTTGTGAAGAATTACATTACTGAGACGACAATGAATCATTTTTTTCATCTTATGATCTAAATGTTATTTAAAGTGCCCCTATTGTGGTGTTTTGAAGGTTTTTATGTGCTCTCCTGCAAAAGATTTACTTCCAACCAAGGTCAAAAACACTATGAGATTTATTTTAACAATCTAGGCGCAATGTCTAAAGCGCATAGTGCTAAAGCATTAAGGGCATGTCTGGATCCACTTTTGCTATTTTAAGGATAAAAAAAAAAAAAATGGTTTGTGCCACGCACATGGTCTAGCAGTGTTGTGCTTATTCTCTTAATGAGTGATGGGTGTGTTTTGAGCATAACATGCATTCAACCAATCAGAGGCTTGTCTCCCATTTAGAGTCAGTTGAGTCGTGTCATGTTGCATTTGCTATTTAAATGGCAATCTTTGTAAGAGGAAAAAATGAGAGCTACACTAGCGAGAAAAGTTAAACAGACCATCTGCAGTGCGAGGATTAGGATCGAGCCTCCTCCATTCGGCCTTCACTTTCACTTTACTTTACTTTTACTCTTTACTTTACTTTTTTACTTTCCTGGATAAGGAAACAGTGTTGTACACACTCCACTGAAGACATCCATTAGCCTACATAATAAATTTAGTTTATTATAGAGCTAATAATATGCCAAAACAATCTGAATTTGAATTGTGTTCGTTTTAATTATTGACAATTGTAATTTAATGAATCTGAATTTGTCGTTGAAAATTGTTTTGACAACTTTTTTTTAAAACTGAAATTTAAGACATCTGAATTTTTCAAGGCAGATTTTTTTATAGACGCAATTTCAAACTTCAGATTTTTGTGTTCTGATTTCATAGACTGCAGATTAATAAAGTACAGTTTCAAGTTTTCAAGATGAAGAAATTCAGAACATCACCTACCTTTCTGCACTGAATCTGAATTTCACGGTCTGAATTTCTGGTTTTGAATTTTAGGATATTGAATTGATGTTCTGAATTTTGGATCTTAAAAACCTCCACAAACTGCAGTATATCTGCAGTCTATGAATTCAGAACACAAAAATCTGAAACTTAAAAATGCGTCTATAAAAAATTCTGCCCTGAAAAATTCAGTTGTTTTACATTTCAGAGTTATGAAATTCAAATTCAAAATAAGAAATTCAAATTCAAAAAAATTCAACACAACATAAAAATTCAGATTTAATAAATTACAATTTTCAATAATTCAAATTAACACAATTCAAATTTAGATTATTTTGGCATATTATAAATGCACAATATTAACAAAGTGTGGTCAAAAAATTAAGTTATATCCAAACACACAACC